AGCTTATACTAAGTTCAAACATTTACTTAGTTTTATACATACGGGTCAAAAGTATTTCAAAGTCCTTCAATTTATATTAACATGGTAAATTTCTTTACACGTTCAAACATTTTATTAAGTCTATACAATGGATCTTAATACCAATATGTACTAAGTATTGTCTTTAGCTTGCTCCATTGTCAAAATACTTTAAAATCTAAACATTTAGCATTTGATAGTTGTTTCACAATAGAGTTCGTAAACTTCTCGTTGGACCTTTACTTTTTCTCCCACTAAACTTCTTATTCATCAGAATTTCTATGTTTCTCCATAAGCCAATCCTCTTATTAACTTTATGAGAAAACACATTCCAATTCCTATATGCAATGCTTCCTCTAATCCCACGACGGATTCCTTGAGCTTGCTTTCAAATCTAGCATTATTTAGATTTTCAAAACCCTTAGACTATTCCATAGTCACTTCCAAAACCCTATTTTTGGAAGGCGGTTTTGGTATCTATTTTTCCATATGTCATATGTTCAGTTTTTGCTAAATCAATCATGAAAAGACTTAAGCATTCCGATTGGTGAATAGGTTTTTATTATAATCAACTCCGTGAACTTAATTGTATCCTTTTCAACTAATCTAGCTATGTATGCATATACATTTCCACATTTGTTAGTTTTCTACTTGAAAACTTATTTGCAATCAATGGGTCTTTCACCTTTCATGCAAATTAATCTAGTTTCAAACATGATTTTCAAACATGGGTTTGTTTCGGATTTTCATGGCCTCTAACCATTATTCGGAATTTGGATTTGTCGTAGTTATCTTACACTACATTATTCCTTTACTATCTAATAGTAAATAGTATGCTTGAAAGTTTTAGGTTTATTTCTAACTTAAGAGAAATTTATAGGATTCAATTCAAGCCTTTTGTGAATTCTATACCTATACAGGGCAATTGCATTAAACACTGAGTTTCAAGGCGCTTCCAAAGCCCTTTCATTTTCTTGATCTTATTCCAACTTTTCAAAAGTTTTGTGAGAAATGAATTCTCTTTTTAAGGCACTTGTAAAGTCCTTTTGAATATTCTTGATCAAGTATTCTCACGAAGCCCTTTTAAGGTCTTCCGAGATTCTCAGTTCTAGTTTGTTGCTAAGCTCGATTGTCATCGAGTTCATTTTCCTCCCACTTGTCATTTTGGAAATGTGTTACTTTCCAGAAAGACACCACTTGGACCAACAAACACTATGTTCTCAACTAGGTTGTGGAGGTAATGCCCGTGGTCTCACTTGAATTCTTACAAAGAGACATGTATATTATCTTTGGGGAAAAGTTCGTTGTAAGACAAACAGTTAACTCCCACTTGAGCTATCTTAGCCTTTAATGAGCCATTAAGCTCCCACTCAACCACCAAGCTCTTGCTAAGCCAGTGAGCTCCCACTAAGTCACTTAGCTCCCACTGAGCCAAAGAACTCCCATTGTGGCTAAGAGTTTTAGATATATACTTGAGAAGACATTTAGAAGTTAATTCTACCCATAACTGAACATGGCGTCCTTTCTTAGCTTTGACATTTTATTTAGTGTAACATTAGTCCTTCGTGCAAATCTTAAGAACTTTATAGGAAAGGATGTGATCCATCATTGTTCGAGTTATTTTTAAATGGCATCGAGGTCTCCGTGAAGACACACTATGTTGTTTGTGGAGTTATTTATGAAAATTTCAATTTCATAACTTTATGATGGTCACGCTTGGCTCAAGAAAACATCGCTCTATCTAATCTAGATGTTTTGATATCTTGCCAAGTCGATTCTGTACTTATTTGAACTATTCAAGGTCAAGTTTGTTCACATTTGATGAATATAGCCATATTCTTTCAAATTCTTTGTGAAACGTTAAAGTAAATGAATCCTCTTTAGCTTTCGGAGTTAATTGTCTATACCAAGAACAATAGCTCTTTACTTTGTCGGTTTCAACGAGTAAGACTTGCTTGTCTTAGAAAGATTCCGAATCGATCAACTATAAAGAGCCTATCTAATAGAGCCTTGAGTATGTTCTTGTCGATGTGACATTGCTAAAGATGTTTGGAATGCAAATCAAGCCCATGACTTGAACTTAATGAGTTTATCATGTTAGGGAAATGTTTGTTTATAATCAAGCATTCTTGACTCAATGCTTGGATAACCATACCATTCAAATAAATTCGCAGCTATTTCTTTTACTTTGAATGTGAGTCTTTCCGTGTGTAAACGGATCAATTGCTGATTATGTAACATAATAATAACCATTACTTGTTCCAGCCTTTTGCTTAAAAGGTCTTTAAACAAAGCATACGACCTTCCAACTTATATAGCTCTCCTTGCTTTATTCTGAGCTTGTAAGTCGATAACTTAGCTTAACTTCAATAGTTTGAGGTCACTTTCAAAGTGGAACGCTCAAGCAGTATCTGATACTTGTGAAGATAACGAATTGCTAAGTTAACTACAATAACATGAACTCATGGGTTGAATTGGAATCTTATTCCTTTTCTTCGTTCCTTGTTTCCTATATTTCTTATTGTAAAATATCTCATAACCTTACTTTAAGAACCATTTCTAAGTCACTACTACAAAAAGTGGCAAACATACCCCTTCTAAGAGACCCGTTGTGCAATTTAACGGGTCTCTTTTATATAAAAGACCCTACATTACACATAACAGGTCTATAATAATAGGCGCCAAAATATAATGTTTTGCGGTTTTAAATAACAAGGTCATATTAAAGACCAGTTGTTATTTACAGCGGGTCTCTTAAATAAGAGACCTGGGGTCTCTTAAATAAGAGACCTGTTGTTAGGTACAACGGGTCTCATACATCTGGTAAATATTCCTTTTCTACAGAGTTCCATACTTCATTCCATTATTATTGCCGCCTCAAATTTTCATTCCCTCTCAAAATAAATTTAATAAACCCTTCCAATTCATAAAAAAGACCCTCTTCAAATTTTCAATTTCACCACTAATTTTCTACAGATTGCCGAATGACATTCGTCTCTTCTATTTTTCATCAAAATCCCAAATGCACATTGGATTTCTGGGTTACTGCATGCGGCCACTGATATTGCTAGTTGAGTAAGTAGCAGCGTGATCATCTTTGGGTTTTCTTCGAAATCACAAAAAAAAGGAACGAAAGAGCAGCTCCTCCACAGCTCCTCCACGGCTCCACCGCAATCAAACTTAAAGGTTAGAATTTTGGCTCAATTGATGCATGTATGCTTTGTTAGGGTTTTATGTATTGATAATTTTTTTGTTTCTTACTTTTTTTATTTAATTTACTTTAGAATTATTGTTTTGTTTGCGGAAATGAAATATTGAAATAAAAATTGGTTCTTGTTCAACATTTGTTAGTGAATCTGCTATTATAGAAATGAGGCAGTAAGTGTATTAAAATTAGTTTAGTTAATAAAAATTTGTTCTTGTTCGACATCTAACATTAACCAGGAAGTTAGTTAATGTTGGCAATCGAATATGCTATTATTTTAGTAATTTTGGGTTGCCTATTAAAATTTGTAAGTGTATTCAGATTTCTGCTGCTTGAAATTTCATATCAAGTGTTGGTTCATGGTTTTAGTTTCTTTGCTTTATGATGGTTTTAGGTTCTGTGCTTTATGTTGTTTAATGTTCTAGGTTTTTGTTTTGAGGTTTTATTGTGATGAAGAGAGAGATAATTTGTTGTTTGAATTTCCCTTTAAATTCTACATTATTTTAGATTGTATGACATCTTTAATGTTGGTTGGGATTTCAAATTATGTGTTTTTTTTTGTTTTTATTAAAAATGCACTATAGAATCATGCATGTACACAAAATCGTCAGTTTTGTTGCTAATTGGTTCCTGAGTTATGTTTTTTGTCAATTTAATAATTAGAAGATGAGGGGAAAGGTGTAGGGAGAGGGGCAGGGGCAGGGGCAGGATGGGATTAATAATTTTATTTGTTGTTGTGTAGAAAATATTAAATGGATCGAAGTTGGATAACAGCAACTAAGCCAGGTGACCCAAAATATCAAGCATGTGTAAGAGAATTTGTTAAGTTTGCAGTTAAGAATAGCGGAGGCCGCCATAAGCTACCATGCCCTTGTCACATGTGCCATAATTTCTTGTATAAGAGACCTGAAGAGATACTTAATCACTTGGAGAAATGGGAATTTGACAAAACATATACGTGTTGGATTTGGCATGGAGAATGTAAAGATGGAGCTTCGTTGAGTAACTTTTCAGATAATGCTAATGAAGGTCAACATACAAATGAGGGAAATAGATTAGAGGAAATGCTCCATGTTGTACAGGAGAATTTTGATGAAGATCCCACTAAATTTGAGAGCTTATTAAGTGACTCAGAAAAACCTTTGTATGAAAGTTGCACTAAATACACAAGGTTGTCTGCCATACTTAAGTTGTATAACTTGAAGGTGGGTCATGGTTTAAGTGATTAAAGCTTTAATATGATCCTAGAATTTGTAAAAGACATGCTTCCAGATGATAATGTCCTTCCAAGTTGTACATATGAGGCAAAAAAGACACTAGTGTCATAGGTTTACCTTATTCGAGAATTCATGCTTGCCCTAACGATTGCATGTTGTATCGAAACGAGAATGAATCGTTAGAGAGACGCGCAATTTGTAGTGCCTCGCGATACAAAAAGAATGAAGGACGAGTGCCTGCGAAGGTATTATGGTACTTTCCAATAATACCTAGGTTTGAAAGGCTATTTTCTAATGCCGGAGATGCTAAAAAGTTAACATAGCATGTCTATGGTCGAGAGGATGATGGAATGCTTAGACATCCTGCTGATTCCCCACAATGGAGGTTTATTGATGGAGAATTTTAAGAATTTGCCAAAGAAAAGAGTAATTTACGCCTTGCTTTGTCTACAGATGGCTTCAATCCATTTGGATCATTTTGTAGCACTTATAGTACATGGCCTGTTGTTTTGATTACCTACAACTTACCTCTTACACTATGCATGAAAAGAAGGTATATGATGTTATTACTACTAATTTCTGGTCCAAGGCAGCCTGGTAATGATATTGATGTGTATCTGGCTCCACTAATTGATGATTTGAAGATGTTGTGGGAAACAGGTGTAGAGGTGTTCGATGCACATCGTAACGAGAATTTCAATTTGAAAGCATTGTTGTTTTGTAATATTCAAGATTTTCCAGCATATGGTAATCTATCAGGATACACAGTTTACGGGAAAACTGCTTGTCCCGTATGCATGGAGGGTTTTCAAGGAAGGTGGTTGAGTGCATCTAAGAAGAATGTTTTTGATGGAAATCGTATATTTTTGCCATGTACTCATCACTATCGCAACTTGAAAAAGGCCTTCAATGGACATCAAGAGTTTAGGGTGCGCCCTAAGATACTATCTGGAGTAGAGGTGTTTGAAAATATCAAAGATCTCAAGATCACATATGGTAAGAAGCATAAAAAACTTCTTCCTCAGCAAGGATTCAAAAAGTGTTCAATATTGTGGAGCTTACCATATTGGAGATTCCTTTTTGTGAGACATACGCTTGATGTGATGCATATTGAGAAAAATGTGTGTGATAGTGTTATTGGTACACTATTGAATATTAGTGGAAAGACCAAAGATGGGGAGAAAGCTAGAGACGACTTAATGGAAATGGGGATTAGAGATGAACTCCATGTGGTTGAGAATGAGAATGGTCGAAAGTACTTGCCACCGGCTGCTTATACGCTCTCTAGAAAAGAGAAAATCGAGTTATGTCAGAGCTTGGCCGGAGTGAAAGTGCCGGAAGGTTATTCTTCTAACATTCGCAACCTGGTAAACATGGAAAGTTTGAAACTTATGGGCCTTAAGTCTCATGATTTTCATGTTTTGATGCAAAATTTGTTGCCCATAGCTATTCGTTCAATATTGCCTAAAAATGTTCGATACGCCATTACTAGACTTTGTTTGTTTTTTAATGCAATCTATAGTAAAGTCATTGATCCCGAACATTTGAATGCTTTGGAGGAAGAAATTGTTATAATTTTATGTCAATTAGAGATGTACTTTCCTCCATCGTTTTTTGATATCATGGTTCATTTGACGGTTCACTTGGTAAGAGAGATAAGATTTTGTGGTCCAATATATTTGAGAGTTCAATGGGCTTTTGAAAGGCAAATGAGAACATACCAAGGGTATGTGAAGAATGTTTATCGACCTGTAGGTTGTATTGCTGAGCAACTTTTCTATGAAGAAGTATTACAATATGCTGGTGATTTTATGATAAATTCAATGAGAATAGGGATTCCTATATCCCGTCATAGTGGACGAATGGATGGTGTGGGAACCTTAGGTCGTAATCAACGTGATATGTCTTATGACAATAGGCACAAGGCACACTCATACATTCTGCATAATGAGGATGAAGTTGCACCCTATGTTGAAAGACATATGAGACACTTGAGAAAGTACAATCCAAGAGCAAGCGAAAAGGCATTAGCTGACAAACATAGCAAATCATTCATTTCTTGATTCAAAGATGAAGTAATGATGGAGCTCGATGACTCTTCAATAGTAATCTCAGATCGATTCAAGAGTTTAGCATATGGACCTGACTTTAGTGCAACATACTTTTCAGGATATGTTATAAATGGTTGCACTTTTTACACAAAGTTCCAAGATGAACACAGCACTATGCAAAACAGTAGGGTCACTTTAGAGGCTCAAGCTATTCACTTTGCTAGTGCAAAAGATAAGAATCCCGTGTGTGGTACTATGAGATACTATGGAGTCATTGAAGAGATTTGTGAGTTGCATTACACCATGTTTTTTATTCCTCTTTTCAAATGCCAATGGGTTGACAGCAACAACGGTGTTGAAGAAAGTAACTTGGGACTTATTTTGGCCAATCTTAACAAGTTTGGTCACAAAGAGGATCCTTTTATTTTAGCTACCTAAGCAAAACAAATTTTTTATATGACTGACCCCTTAGATAAGCGAAGGTCAGTTGTCATAACACCAAGGCCTCGACACTCCATCGATGATTGTACTTTTGATAGTGTGTTGGAGACTCCTTCTTGGACAAGAAAGGTAGTGGACGATAATGTTGATGACTCTTCAATATATGTGAGAGATGATCATAATGAGGTTACATGGGTTGAAGATACAAAGAAGCGAAAAAATGTCAAGCAAAAGCGATCTCGTAACAAATGTAATTTAATTTTATAAAGTACTAACTTTTTTTTTTTATTATTGGTTTTTCCTTAGGATGTCCTACTTAAAATTTTGGTTTCATTATTACAATGATTTTTGCATTTAACTAACCTATTAAATTTATTTTTCTGATTTTTTTATAGGTTGATGGCTAGAAAGAGAAAACGTGTACGCCCCATCCAATGAAGGTGACACACTACATCCTCAGGATTATGAGAAAATAAGGCGTAAGGATGAGAGGGGTCGTACTGTACTTGCTATGGTGGGGAAGGCGATCCAATCAGGCACCAAGATTCGTTTAGCATGGCATCCTATTAAAATAATTCCAGTAGGAGAGCACAAATCTCATTTCTCCACCTACATTGGTGTTGTTGCCCGTAAAAGAGTAATGATTACTTATAAGGAGTGGTCTGACCTTCCAAATGGAGTCTTAGACGAAGTCTACAATGCTATCACATTAAGCAAACATATTCAGTTCTGAAGCTCAGTTCTGAATTCAGTTATGAAGCTTAGTTATGAATTCAGTTCTGAACCTCAGTTCTGAATTCAGTTTTGGAGTTCAGGTCTGAAGCTCAGTTCCGAGTTCAGTTCTGAATTCAGTTCTGAGACTTAGTTTTGAATTCAGTTCTGAACTCAGTTCTTGAGTTCATTTTTGAAGCTCAGTTCTGAGTTCAGTTCTGAGTTCAATTTTGAAGCTCAGTTTTGAATTCAGTTCTGAAGCTTAATTCTGAATTCAGTTCTAAACCTCAGTTCTGAATTCAGTGTTGAGGCTTAGTTCTAAATTCAGTTCTGAATCTCAGTTCTGAATTCAGTTCTTGAGTGCAGTTCTGAAGCTCAGTTCTAAGTTCAGTTCTGATGCTCAGTCTGAATTCAGTTTTGAGGCTTAGTTCTGAATTCAATTCTGAACCTCAGTTCTGAATTCAGTTTTGAATTTAGTTCTGGAATTCAGTTCTGAAGTTCCGTTCTGAGTTAAGTGCTGAGATCAGTCCTGGAGTTCAGTTCTGAAGCTCCGTTCTGAGTTCAGTTCTGTTTTGATGCTTGATAAGTTTATTAGTTTTGATGCTTTATAAGTTTATTAGTTTTGATGCTTTATAAGTTTATTAGTTTTGATGCTTTATTAGTTTATTAGTTTTGATGCTTTATAAGTTTATGATAAGTTTCCTCTAGCAAGATGATGTTACTGAATTTAATCTTAAATATTTTTTGTAGGAATTGAGTGAAAAAATTCGTGTGAGGGCAAAGAAGAAGACCCCAAAGTATCGAGGAGGCCGACTTGGGTATCAATATTTTGAAGAACAAGTAGTAAGTTTGACAAATATTCTATATGTAACTACCATATATACAATATTGGTGTTGAAAATTTGATTTCATATAATTCAAACATAATTCTAAATTAATTTTGTACAATGGCAGGAAAAAGAACTTGAAAAACAGGGAGTCCATGTGTCACAAGTGCCTCGACACTTGACTTGGATCAAAGCTCACTCTCAGGTCAAAGATGGAATCATTTTTTTTATAATCCAGTCGATAGGGAAATCCATGATGCTATAGTAAGATATCTAATGAAGACTCTTCTGCACAAATTTTATTTCATTAAATTCTTGTGAATGATTGCCTTTATTTGAATTTATTTCACTTGGTTTCATCTATTACGTCCCTTGAAAATTTAAATTGCAGATTCATTGGAGGCTCAAGCTCAAAGAGGAGAATTCGTGTACAATGGTCGGGATGACATATTAGCAAGAGCATTGAATAAGTGTGAGCATGGTGGTTCAGTGTGGGCAGTTGGATCAGGTATCACAAATAAGGAATATTTTGGCTTTGACAAACCAACTGCACCAAGCCAATTGTATGCAAAAATCGGAATGATGCAATCAGAGATGGGAACTATGAAAAATAATCAGAATTTATTATTATCTTTCATCATGTCATGCTTAAATCAGGAGCAATTGAAATCGTTTATGGCCATCTTTGGTCAATCAAATGTTGGTCAATTTGGCAGTTTGGGTGGGCTGGTTGGCCAATTTGGCAATGATGGTAGTCAGCCTGGTACTGGTGGTCAGTCTAGTTCTGGTGGTCAGTCTGGTCATGGTCAACAGGTTGGTTCTTCTGGTCAGACTAGTTTTGGTGGTCAGAGTGGTTTTGGTTTTGGTGGTCAAGCTGAATTCAGTGGTTTTGGTGGTCTTGATGGTAATAGGTTAGGTTTTACCCAATTAAATAATTTTGTTGACCATGGAATGCTTAACATTCCACTTACACAACTGCTAACTAGAGGGGTTGAGCGACAACAAAGTGAAGGTCATCAATTGTTGGAGTCTCAATTTCAGGATGCTGCTAATGTTTCACGTGGTCATAAGGCTCACATAAGTCCTCCCGTGCAATAGGATCATCTTCAAAGCTCTGAGGCTGAGATGTATCATGTTTCTTGGCCTCAAACAGAAAAAATTAATCAACCTGACCATATACTTCTGAACAATCATGATGATAACTCAACTGATCTTAGCCTCAAACACAGCAATATCACTTTTCCTGAGGTACTGTATTAAAAGTCATACATCTTCGAATGTAAATTATGTATATGAAATTTGATTATGTCATGACTTGTATAGGGCTAGAGTGATTGTCAACTGGCCATTGAGGACGGCGATAAAGGACATGTAATTGTTGCTAAAGGGAAAGTCTATCAAGAGAAGGCAGGAGAAGTCATCAGAAATCATATCCGATCGCTACCCCCTGGTCACCGCCGAGTCTCTATTGTAGAAAATATTGTGCCGAATGCTCCCTTGCCATGTCCAAATGAAGAATTAATCTTTGTTTTCCAAGCAAAGAAGAGTTACACTTCTTGGCCAATTCACTTGATTCTTCCGGTTAAGGTATTGTTATATCAGTTTTTATACCAACTGATTTTAGTTCAGAATTGATTTTAAGTTAAGAGTTGCATTTACTTGTTCCCTCATTGTTTGTTTGTATGAAAGGCTGATGTGTACCTGGAAAAAGACGTGACTACTCCATTCCCATGATCGACATCTTCCCAAACATCAACCACTGACATGCATCTTTTCAGAGCTGAAGATTGTGAAAAAGTGACTACTAATTGGTTACAGTCGTTAAAAACTCATGATTTGGGAATGAAAAAGAGTAGTAAATCCATCTCCTTAAGTTTCCAGAAAACTGTATTTCTGACTCAACATGTGGTTGATGTTACTCTTGACTACGAAGATTTGCTTAATTGGTGTTTCCAGAAAGAGATTGGAGCTGCTCACTTGAAAAATTTCATGAAGTAAGTTCATTTACATTTTTAAGATTTGAGAATTTCTATTTTCAATATCTTCTTACATGTTTGACCTTTTATGGATGGCGGGGACGGGTACTTGAAAGAACAATGTCAAGAAGAAGGAATTTCGGGTATGTTTGGATTTTGCGATTCCAATGTTCTATCCCCAATGAATCCAACAATAGAAGAGGAAAACCCGTCTACATACTTAGCTCGTGTGTTTGGGTGCAATGAGGGAAAGAATCATAACCAATTATTCTTTGCACCTTATAATGAAAAGTACGTGCATTATGTGTTTCTCTACAATAGCTTATAATTATTGATATGTTACTTTATTAACTTTTTGTGTTATTTGTATGTAGTCGGAATTGGATGTTAGTTGTTATTAGCCCTTGGAATGGGATAGTCTATTGGTTGGACCCAAGTGGAGCAGACAGCATACCTTAGTTTGCTAAAACAATCATCAATGAGTAAGCAATTAAGTAATCATTTAATGACTTCATTATATTTGTATTGATGTTCAACTGATTGGTATTTTTGTCATTATTATCATTTGATCTTGTCATAATTCTGTAGGAGAATCAAACAATTTAGCGTTGTCCATCGCAAGGATATCAAGAAAATAAAAAAGGATGCATATATTGGGTGGAATCAACCAAAGGTATTCAGTTTTTCTTTTTAAATTTAGCATATAATGATATGTTGTAGGTCTTGGACATGACAAAGTAACTCATGAATGATTTGTTGTAGTGTCCTAGCCATCCTAAACACAAGAAGGATTATGGATAAGTTTTGTGCCGGTACATGCTCGAGATTTTGGAAAAAAGGGTGTTATGGATTACCGACAAGGTAAGAACTTATGCATTTCGAATACTTTGATTGTTTCAACTCAATATTTCTGACCAAAATTTGCTCAAATTAACCAAAATATTTCTGTCTATCTATACTTGGCAGGGCAGCAGCAGCCGCCTTGCCTAGGCAGGGCAGCATCTGCAGCCTTGCCTAGGCAACGCAGCAGCAGTCGCCTTGCCTTGGTAGGGCAGCA